TCAAAGTGTCTCCCCTCTGTTGGACCCTGGCTTGTGGTCTCTGCAGAGCAAATGTGGGCTGTTCAGGTGCAACCAGGTGGCATTCAGGAGAGAATTTCCTTGCGTCATGAGCCTGTCAAACAGTGCAATGCAGATAAGATTCAATTCTGCCTCTCACCGGCAGGAACTCCCTAGTGCTGTACGGGCTCATGTCGTGGCGAGACCAGGAATAAGGAGCTGGGCCAGGCTGATGTAGGCGTGGGTCTCACCTAAAACCTGTCCCTTTTTTGTCCTTTTAGGTGGGTCTCATTGACCCCAAACCATTTCTGGGACTGAGATTCAGCCTGCAGCAGAGCCAGTTTTCCTCTGCGCATCGGTCTCCTGCCTTCAGAAATCCCTTTTGCATGCTCCAAACAGTTTGTGTGTCTTCACCAGGGAGCTGGGCTTTAAGGAAGCCTGATTGCCACCATGATGGCAAACAAACAAGCTGGAAATGTGGATTTGTCAGAACTATAATCCAGGTAGGTCCTAGTTCTTCGCTTGTGCAAAACCTTCCATTTTCTGTCCTTACATCTGTCTCTCTTGGGTCTTTCTGCAGCCCCCTTCCCTGCAGGACCCAAGTCCCTCACAGCCTTTGAGGCTGAAGTGTGAGCAGAAGGGGCGAACTGGGAAAAAGACTTTGGTGCCTACATGCTAATGTTTTGGCTTTGGCTGACACATGCCAAACTGTAATCATGACCTTCCCCTCGCTGGCACTCACAGCCCCCTTGGCCATCTAATTCCTCTGGCACATCAGGGTTTGCTCTTCAAATCCCCTGGACACCTCCTGCTTGTGGACAAGGACATGTTGGCACGATGCCGCAGTGCTTGGGAACAGTTTGCTATATCAGCCTGCCCCAGGGATGGGCTTGGGGTTCCTTGCCTTGGCATGGGATGAGGTGATCCTTCTCGCCTTGCTCTCCTTGCTCTCTCCCTTGGTCCTTCCCTCTCTGCCAACCCAATGACTGCGTAGCTGTGCCATGAGACATAGCCGCATGTACCTTCTCCAAGACCTCTCCTGGTCCCCCACGCCTGGCTGGTGGGACCCCAGCACTTCATGCCCCAGGGCAGAGCCCTCTGCACCATGAGACATCTCGCCAGGCTTGTTCTGGGGGAAAGGCATGAGCTTCACCAAACTGCCTTTATGCTACGCTGTCCAAAGCCATGTCCTACTATTCCCCGGTCCTGCTAAGTAATAACACTGGCATATATTTTTGCTGTTCTTTGTCTCTCCTTAGCATCCATGTCTGAGGCATGACCCCAAAGGCCCAGGGAAAGCAAGAATGTTGAAGAAAATCCAGATATGCCTCTGCTTCTTCTTTGTCTCAGGCATTTTGTACGAGATCTCCCTGCTGTCCGGCTGCTTCTTCTCCTATATGCCTATGTCCAAGCACTTCCTGACACCTGAGCAGGTCTTGAACCTTGGCAAAAGCATCATCTTTCTGGAGACGACAGAGCGCCTGGAGCCACCTCCACTGGTGTCCTGCTCTGTGGAGTCTGCTGCCAGGATTTACCAGGACCGGCCCATCATCCTCTTCATGAAGGGACTTATGAACAACACTGCGTTGGACTTGAACTCCAGCTATGCAGCCTTCTCGCTTTTGTCTTCTATGAAAAATGTCTTCATTTTTCCTCTCCAGATGGAAACTGTCTTCCAGGGGACCCCTCTGCTCCAGTGGTACAACCAGGTGAGCGTTATAATAAGGGGAAAATAGGGAAATAGGAAAATAATTATATATGGGGGGGAAAAAGGTCTGAAGTAGGCTTAAAATGAATGGAGGAACGCAGGACTGGCTACGTGAAATTAGTAATTTTTATTTTTTTGGTTCAGAATACACTCATTTTTGCCATGTTTTGCAGTGTATTCATCTATCTGTTTATTGAACACATTATCAGCATTTTCCCCCCTATCTGGAGAATCAGATTTTTTGGCAAATGAAACATTGGTAAAAATAGATTGCATACGTGTTTTGATAAAATATTGCTTAATAATCTTTCTCAACAGAAGCTGGCTGAACAAAATGTGCTGCCCAAGTCATCTGAGCGCTTGTTAATGCTGCCACACACCATCAGAGCCCGCAGTAGATAAGATGCGGGAGAGATTTCAGTTTTTGTAATAGCAATATGCAAAACCAAGGTGGGATCTTGTGAGCTCCACCCTGGAAATAAGTTCCTGGCAAACTGCTTGCAAGTAGCTTTTGTCAAATTTGTTTGGCTCCATCTCTGTGCAGGGCAGGCATATTCCCTCTAAGCTCTTCCTTCTCCTGAGGAAAAAATGACTCCAAATACCAACAATGCCAATGAAAACCCTCCAGCCTCTTTCAAAGGGCTGGGAGTGATCAGGGAGCGTGTTAAGTGGGTTGTGTCTCACTGAAATAGCAGGCAATGATTCATGGTATCATTGATTTAACATTGTAGGTTCCATCAAACACCCGTGAAATGTTCCTGCATTCATTTATACTAACAAAGCATTGCTCTGCACTGCCCCCTTATCTTACTCCAGTAAAATTCAATAGCTGGGGGAAGAAAAGGCAGTCATTTACAGTGACGTTTGCAGGTGTGCAGGTGCAGTTTTATGGTGCCATTTGCATCCAATGGAAGGATATGATCTGTTCAAGGATATGATCTGTTCTCCGCCAGCGGCATCAGTCTTGCCTTTCCAACTCTGCAGGTAGTCCCGGAGCAGGAGAAGAACTGGGTCCACGTCAGCTCCGATGCCAGCAGACTGGCGCTCATTTGGAAGTATGGGGGCATCTACATGGACACAGATGTCATCTCCATCAGGCCCATCCCCGAGGAAAGCTTCCTAGCAGCACAGAAGTCGCAGTTCTCCAGCAACGGGATCTTTGGCTTCCCTGCCCACCACAAATTTATTTGGGACTGCATGGAGAACTTTGTTCTCAAGTACAATGGGAACATCTGGGGGAACCAGGGGCCCTTTTTAATGACAAGGATGCTCAAAGCCATCTGCAATCTCACGGATTTCAAAGGCACCGAGGACCACAGCTGCCAGAACATCTCCTTCCTCAACCCCCAGCGTTTCTACCCCATACCGTACCCAGCCTGGGGCCGGTACTACAAGGTGTGGGACAAAAGCCCCAATTTCAACCACTCCTACGCGCTGCACTTGTGGAACTTCATGAACCACAACCGGAAAGCCGTGGTTGCGGGCAGCAACACGCTGGCTGAAAAACTGTACAAAGCTTACTGCCCCACCACGTATGAGGACCTGATCCAAAACGCGGAGCTAAGGGATTTCACACGCTCTGAGAACGCTGTGTGACATGGTGTAAGGAGGAGGGGGGTGATCCTTCCAGCCCTCCCTGTCCTGGGGCCAAAACACAGTCACCACTGGTGTCAGTAGCTGGCTTTGTAGGAGAAAGACAGACCTTTTCATAACCACCATCCCTACTCCTTTGGGATGCTAAGGGGCATGTGCAGAATGGTGGTGGGTATCCATTGGACGTAGCCTCCAGTGACACTAAGGACACCTTTGCCTCAGTTCTGTTTCCTTACAGGTGCTCATGAACCAACCCTTCCTGAATCAAACGGACTTACAGGCCTTACTAGTGAACTTTTCCAAGGGAAAAGTTCCTAAAGAGATGCATGGCCTCCTGGGAAGAATTTCATCTCTGCACCTCTTGGCACCATAGGCAGCTACCCATGTCAGGAAAGTCGCAAACACAACAGACTTTGGACTGGGCTGAAGCCTCTGAGGCAAATGTAATGCAAATGTATAGCAGAGGATGGATGACAGTAGTTGCTAATGCAGAGAAGCCCAAACCACTGTCTTTTCATTAATCTGTGTTTTTCTCACATGAACTTTACACCCTACGTTTTTGAGAGGGACCTTACCAGTGCAAGTGAAAATAAAATGGTTAACAAACCACCACTCCTCTGAGCTTGCTTTCCCCTGCATGCCCCTGGAAAATTAGTCCCAATTTTCAAATGTTTGTGCTCCTGCACTTTTACTTTGGCTCCTTCCAGGAAGGGGCTGCACTGCCCCATTCTCTGAGATCAGTTCTGACTGCAAAGAGTCACATCTCCCCCTGGAAAGGAGATGCTGAGGCACCAAGAAAGGATACGGATGGCCCTCCAGGGCTCCCAAATCCCTTTGAAATAAATGGAGTTCAACTACCCTGGAAATTAGGTGCAGCGGCTCTGGCCACCCTTGTCCAGCTGTGCGAAAATCCCCATTTAACTCCAACAGGGCACCCATCCAAAAAAGACTTTTTTTTCTGCCAGACAGCAATGCATCCCCTTGCATTTACTTTTTTCCCAGGATAATGCCAGTCTACCCAACCCCCTGAAAAGAAGCCCAGCTTGCAAATCTCTTCTGAGTCTGTCTGAACAGCTGTTTTTAACTTGGGAGCAGAAAGGCGGGGGTGGATCGGTCGCTCGTCATCACATGTTTGCCATATGCACAACGCTATCTTCTGTAAACACAGCAGCTAATGAGCATGCTGCCATCAGCGGCCCAGTTTCTGCAGCTAGAAATTGCAGCAGGATTAATCAGGAGAAGAAAGCCCTCTGCACACCGTGTTCATGTGCGCTTTGTGCTGTGTTTGGACACTGGGCTTGAGTTTCCTTCCAGCCCTGTGTTCCCCGGCCCCGGCAGTAACTGCTAAAGTCAGTCGAGCTGTACCGGTTTAAGGGCAGGCAGTGCCAAGCTGAGCGCTGCGGGTTGCCAGAGCAGGAACGTGGCATGGGGGAATATTTGCCATTCCCTTTCCCAGGGTGAAGCTCTCATGGCCCATGAGTTTCATGCCCCGGTGCCATCCACACTGGTTTAGTTTTGCTCCCTGCTCTGTTACAGAGGTTTTGCCTGCCTATGGCATCAGGACCTGCTTTTTCTCCATAACTTTGACTTTTCTGGGCTGAGCGGATGCAGGGGAGGAGTGTAGGGTTACAGCCCAGAAAGTCCTCCCTGTTTCCCACACGGCTTCGGACCGCCTCTGGCTGCTTCCCAGCCACCTCTCACCACCCATGTTCATCGCTCCACTCCTGTCCTCATCCCCCCTTCTTCAGTTGATCTGTCTGTGGCAACAAGTGAGTACTTGCTTTTTTCTGCCCCGTGGCTCGACTCTCCAGGCTCCCCTCTCTGGGCAATGGCTGTGTCCATTAAAGGGAGGGATGGGGCTAAAGGGAGGGACGGGGCTGGGAGACAGGCAGAAACTTGACCCACTTCAGCTCCCTTTGCAGATGAGCTCAGGCAAGAAACATTTCTGAGGCTCTGCTGTGTTACATAGTGGCTCCTCTGCAGCTGAGGTCCAACGCCATCTCCCTTCTTTCTCCTGCCTGTTGTTTACTGTCAGGACTTTTAGCAAAGCAGGGATGATGGCAGCAAGCACAGTTGACCTCACCAAGAGTCCTGCATGGGGGCTTTCTCCTGCAGCCGGCTGAGCGAGCCGCTGCTGCTTGGCATGAGTCCCAGGAGATCACATTTTGGTGAGGAGAAGCTGAGAAAGGAAGGGATGGCTGCTTTTGGGAAGGGTCCGGAGGAGGTGGGGCAGCTGTTCGAGCACGTCATGAGCAGAGTCTGGGTCTTCTGACACCTCTCTGCTTCATGGTAAGGCGTCTCCCAAAGTTTGCAGGCTCCCAGATTGGCAGGGGAGCAGAGGGATGCTGGCACCTGCGGCACCCTTAGACTTTGCAGGGAGCGAAGAAGCCCTTGAAGAGTTCAGGAAGGTGAGGAGGGTCCCAGGGTGGCAGTGGGGAAGGGTGGAGGAGAAGGAAACAAGGAGAAATTTCTCTGCCAAAGGCTGAGGGTTGCAGAGAAGAGGACCATGCAACAGCCTGGCCCAGCAGCCGTGAGCAGGGACAGCAAACACGCTGTCTGCCAGCCTGGAAAATGAAAGTCCATCACACTTTCTGAGACCCAGCTCTACCAGCACTTCGGTGGAGCTAGTTTTCGCACAGTGGAGTGGAAATGGTGCAAGTGACCACCTTCAGCTCTAAGCTCTGCTGTGTGGTACTAGCTGCTACCTCTGTGATGGACCTGCACCCTTGAGACCGATGTCTTCATCACCCAGTGGGCAAAATTTCAGTTCTAGTGAAGGAATTACCAACATTTCCCTTGTGGGTGATGAAGACAGCTTTTGCCAGCAGCTCCATCGCATCAGCTGATGTTGCATTACATTGCAGTGTGGAAGTCGAAATACTTTTACTGCTTTACACCAGCTGAGGACCTGTCCTAGACAAATGCGAATAAGAACTGAAGAGAAGAAATAAATCTTCAGAGCTGGGTTCCCAGGTTGCCTAATGCAGTGGTTTTACTGTACCAACATCACGCTGAAACCATGGTTGCACTGTCTGAAACCTTATATATATCATTTTGTATGAAAAGGAGGGGAAAACCCAGCAGGCTTCAGCAGCCACAGGCATGCCTGAAGCAGGCGATGGCGTGATCACAGCCAATGCATGCGGGTTGGCATTGACGGCCAGGTGAAACACAGCTGGCTTTGGTGCATGAAGACTTTGTTAATATTAATGAGGTTATGTAACAGCCTACCTCCTGGGGTATGCGGTAGATCATTAGGGGATTTTAATTAGTAGTCCCTGCAAACCTCTCTTCTTCAGGAGTGGTTAATTCATGCAACAAAACCTCACCTGCAGGGACCATGCACCATTACCCAACAGGTCTACATAACATGCAGCTATGAGTCAGGGCTATATTTACACCTGTATATACTTATATGTGTATATATATGTATGCATGTATATATGTGTATACTTCACTTTGCCTGATACAATTAATTGGGTTGTTTGACATTGCAGTGCTGCTAACAGTATATATATCACAGCAATAACAACAGTAATGGTCTTTGCTGGCCATACAAGCCTGGAAAAGGAAAGGGCTTGCTGATCTGGTGTTTTTAAGTAGGCACCAAAAAAGATAAAAAATGAGCAAACCATAGAGGGAAACTATGGTTAACTACAATGTCACACTGATCCACAGCCATTCCCAGAGGCTTTCATGCCTTGTCTGCGGCAGTGTGCGACCTCTTCCTAGGTTAGCTGCAGCCCTGAATCAAGGCTTTCCTGTCTCCTGCCATATTGAGGCAGTAGAATAAGAGAGAGAAGGGTGAGAAAGAAGAGAGGGTCAGGTAAAATTGATGTAGAGCTAAAAAGTGCTTAAAAGAGCCACGCAGGTTGATCCAGACTGGTTCAGCGCAATCGTTGGCCCCTAGTGTTTAGGGAGAGGCCCCTGTGGGAGATGGGACTACAGGCAAAAAGGTATTTAGGTGCCTGATGAGCTGATTAAGCAGACCAGAGAGAGGCAGAAATGTAAAGGGACTTATGCAGGGCAGGTATTAGGAGGGGAGGAGCAGATCCTCTGTCTCCGAGATCAAGAGGGGACTTTGCAGAGTTTGCAAGGGGTCTGCATGCTGCTAAGCTGGACTGAGAGCAAACAAGCCTTGCAAGGATACAAGAAGCACCGTGCAGATGAAGCAACCCTGGCAGTGAAGGTAGTCGAGACCCTGGGGTAGGGGGTGAAAAAACAGTCCCATAGGATGGAAAATGCTCACGGGCTTGCAGACATCACTGGCTGCGGTATCAGCTTTAACTGGCTCCACCCTGTGCAACCCCAGATAACCCCTGGGAAACCCTGTGATTGCTCCAGCATCAAAAAAAGATGCGAACAGGATCATTTTATCCCAGGACACATGCAGGCAGCACAAAAAGTGCCTCCCCTAGGCCCTCGGTTGGAAAATCCTGCATGCAGGGCTGGCTTAGCCTGGCAGCCCCTTGCCTGTGCTGTGCCCTTGCCCATGCCACCATCACCCTGTGTGCCTGGTGGGGCTGAGCCTTGGAGAAACACAAGTGGGAGCCTTGGAGCCTCCCACTTGCAAACAACTTTTTGGGGACTGAAATTAGGGCAAAAAAGCTGATTTTGGCACTCTTTCTGCTGCAAACAGGCAATGATAACCACTGCCCCCTCTTCCTCTGAGTTAGCAGAGGAGAGCCTAGGAAAGCTCGGCTTCCTTGCACCATGCCCGCAGTTACTCAGCGTCTCCCTGGGTTGCCTGACCCAGTTTGTCATTGTCTGGCAAGCACAAAAGTAGCTTTTGGCTGTTCAGGAGGCACACACGTGTGCAGCGCGGTGGGCTGGCTGGGAGTCATGTTACCACTGTACACAGCCCGCCCAGCAACACACCAACACCGCTCTGGCTGCTCCGCTCCGTGTCCCAGGGTGCTCAGCCTGTGCAGGAACCCCATCCGCATCCAAAAACATGGTAAGTGGCCTTTCAGCAAAGCACTTTTTTTAAAAAATGAAGTATCTTGAAAGTGGCAGGTGGGTGTAGCAGAGGGGAAATTGTAACGTGGGGCAGCAGCAAATCCCTAGCTAGAGACTAAGAACAATATAGGTCTATTTCACAGATTTAAAACTATGTATTTTAAATACAATTGTTTAATTATTGTTTAGGACACAGCTAGGAAAACAAGCAAACACCACTTCTGGAAATGGTCTGGGTTTAGGTCAGAGCAAGGCACCACAGAAGGCAGCAGTGTTATGATATTAAAGTGTGTCCAGTGTTTACCGTGTATGGTTTGAAAACAGGCTAATTCTGTTTCCCTAAAACAGGTACACTCAGGAGAGTTCATTCAGAACAGGTTATTGTAAAGAGTTGCAATGCAACACTTTTAGAAGTCTCCCTTACCAAAAGTAGATGGTGAACAAACTGGCAGATTTTTTTTTTTGCAGAATTTGGCAAAGCAGTAGATAGGAGTTCTGGATGGGTAGGGAAAAGGAAGGGTTCTTGTTTTCTGCCTTGTAAGATAAGCTCTGACCTGCTCCCCGGTGCCTGCAGCGTGTGCAGGCTGGTGCAGGCTGCAGTGGAGCCAGAGGACGGCTGTGGGGTCAGCCCTAACACATACCTTTTGCATTCCAGCCCTTTTTTGCAGACATTTACCACCCACTGCACCAGCCTGTACCTGGGGCTGCGGGGATGCCAGAGGAATCCCCAGGACCCACCATCCCGGTAGACATCCCCCCCTTCTACTTCCAGCCCCGCCAGGTTGGTGTGGACTGGCATCGCTTCAGTGCCATCGATGTGGAGCGGGTGGCCCAGGAGGTGGACGTGGCCGTGCTCCAGGAGCACATTGCCGGCGTGACCTTCTGCAACCTGGATGGGGAGCGGTGCCCCCACTGTGGGCAGCCAGCAGATCCCGTCCTGCTGAAGGTGCTCAGGATGGCCCAGCTAAGCATTGAGTACCTGCTGCATTGCCAGGAGCGCCTGGGGACCAGCCTGGCCATGCACGCACAGCGCCTGCAAGCTGCCCACGCCAAGCTGGCTTGCACCCAGCAGCAGGCAGCAGAGCAGGCGGCGCAGCTCCGGGGGGCAAAGGAGGAGAGCAGGAGGTGGAAGAAGCTGATTGCCACACAGCAGCTCCTCCTGCAAGCTGGCCCCAACATCTACTGCAAGGTGCGTGGTGGAAAGGTGTAAGGGGTGTAAAGCGTGTCCCTGTGCAGGATGCTCTTTGCCGCATCCTGCCTTTGTAGCCCTGCTGCAGTTACACCTTGGCCCCAGAAAAGGGGCTGGCCAGCCCTGCTGCTTTCCCTGGCGCTGGTTCATCACCTTCATGGAGACTGCAAAGTCCTTGCTAGGGAAGCTCCCTTTTTTTGTGCTAACTACAGGTAGTCAGAGCTGCACAGAGTGTGGGAGAGGGGGTCTGTAGAGGGCTGGCTGGGGAGATCTCATGAGATCCCTGTGTCCTGGGGATGTCCCTTCATGCCAGGGAGACTTTAAACAGCCTCCAGACCAGTGAAAGATTTCTGGATGCTCCTGGATTTGGTGGTGATTTTGCTTTTTCCCCCCACCAAGCTTTTCCCGCGCTTTCAGCAGGAAGCCTGCTGGCTGTGCCTATTTGTCTACTACTTCTCCATCACCAAATCGGCCCACTCACTTATTCCTGGAGAATAAAAGCCACTCAAACCAGGTGATTTAGGTTCATACAGCCTAGTCATCCCCACAAGGGCAGCTCTCCCTTCCTCCAGAGCCTGAGCAGGACCCTGTTATAACCAGGACCTCACTGCTGCTTTGGCCACCTTATTGCACTGCTGTTGGGGAAAGCAGCATTTTTTTTTCCCCCCGAGTAGTATCCCTGCACCATCTTGGCTTCTGCCTTCTCCTGACCCCTAAAGGTTTTTTTCTTTGGCTTCAGACGGAAGAAACTCCTAATACCCTCCATCTACGTACCTCCAGCACGACAGCCACATCTCTTGCAGTCTCCCTTTTGCTTTAACCCCCCCCCCCCCCCCCCCCCCCCCCCCCCAGGTTTTTTTCTTTGGCTTCAGACGGAAGAAACTCCTAATACCCTCCATCTACGTACCTCCAGCACGACAGCCACATCTCTTGCAGTCTCCCTTTTGCTTTAAAGCAGCAAAGCTTTGTCTGCCAGGCAGGGGACATGGGGAGTGCCCCTTTCTGCAGATCCCAGTCCCTCTGCTGACTTTTCCCCCCTCTCCAGTGCCACCTCTGCGATAAAGCCTTCATGAACAACTCCTTCCTGCAAGCCCATGTGCAGCGCCGGCACGCAGAGGCCACCAAGATGGGTGAGCACTGGGACAATTTCTCCCTTCACTTTCCCAGGCAGGTTTTCCCCCATTGGATGTGGATGCTGGAAACCAGAAAGTGACCGTAGGAGGTTAAAGACAACTTCTTCTAACTTATTTTTTCTTCTGCATTTCTGTGAATATTTATTGAATGCTTTCTGCTTGCTGCCTTTCCCTCAAGCACAGGTAGGATATGCAGCCAAATATGAGACTGCGTGAGCATTTAAAACTCATCTCTGCACCTCAGTTTCCCTAAGGATCTTCTCCACCCAAAGATTCCACAGGACCGTGGGGATGGAGCTATGTTGGGGAGTTCGGGAGAGTGTTTTGCTAGAGTGGGAGAGGGGTTCACCTTCCCCATGCCCCTTTTTTGGCAAGGAATTGATGCTCCTTTGCAAAATGCTTTGAAAGCTGCAGGTATAACATGCTGTGTGAGAGCCACAGAGCCTTGTTACAGCTTCACGTGCACCCAGCACTTGAACTTGGCAATAAAAAAGCTGCTTTTGCTGTTTGCTGGCAGGTTGAAACCCCAGCCCGGGGCTGATGCAATGCAACGCAACAGGTTGAGCTTTGCTCCAGAGGCACCTTCCCCAGTGCAGCCTTAAATGTCCAAGCAGGGCACTTTGGCTGCTTGGGAGAACAAGCCCAGTGCAAAGCCACGTTGCTCCACAAGCTGCTAATCTCTCCCAAGTTTACAGAATTAAAAAATAAATAAATAAAAATAATCAGAGGCCACATGGCCACATTTGTCATGGTTTTTCCTGCAGCTCAGCTACCTGCTTCTCCACCCTGAAGCCCTGCAGTGGTTTTGCTCAGTACCTTAGTAGGATTCCCCCCCGCCCCCAACCAAAGCAAAATCCCAGTAGGAGCTAGCAGATTGCACCCTTGCTCACAGTGCCTGTGTTTCCCTGAGCTTTGCAGAGAGGCAGAAGATGAAGCAGGTGGAGCAAATGGAGGATGAGGTGGAGGAGTTGAAGGCAAAACTGCGGGAGATGCAGCAGCAGCTGGAAGCAGAGAGGGGAGCGGAGAAGCTGCGCAGGGAGCAGGTATGGAGCAAGAGCACTGCACCTGTTTGGAAAAAATGGGGGTAGGAGAAGTGATGAAACGGTGAAAGCACAGGTGAAAAAGGCGCTGAAAAATATTTTATGTTGGGGCTCATGTTTATTTCTTTGGAAAATTTGCCCCAAAAAATTCCCATGGGAAATGTCATGTGGAAATAAGGACTGTGTAAGTGTACCTGCCCAGGAGGCTGTGCTGCCTCGACCTCCCCATGGTGTGCAAGCAGGCTGTGAGCAGCAACAGGTGTAATGAGAGCATTGGTGCTCATCCCACTGGTGCCAGGGCAGAAGCCCCAGCCTTTGGTGCTTCTGGTCTGCAGCCAAGATGTCTCCTGCCCTGATTTTTCCACTCCCTTTAGGAAACTGAGAGAGCTCGCCATCAAGAAGAGAAGGGCAGGAGAGATTTGGAAAGGTGGAAAGAGGAGGAGAGGATGAAGCTGCATGAAGAGATAGATGGCCTGAGGCATGTTTTCCTTGCAGTGTTCAAGGATGTGGCCAGCAGGAGCAGTGCCATGGAGGGGGTAAGCAAGCACTCCGCATGCTCCTTGAGGCAGGTGAGGGGATGTTCAAGCCTGCTGCTTCACCTGGTCCAGGTGGCATCACAGGTTCACAGCCCAAAGAGGCTTCATTTCTTTGCTCCTGGGGCACACCAGCATTTTGGGGTCGGAAGCAGTGGCTGGCCAAGGTTGGGCTCCCCAGGAGAAAAGTGGAGCCTCCTGTGGGACACACAGCTCCTTCCTCTCCCCACTCCAGAAACTGCAGGAGCTTCAGGCCAGAGAGGCAGCGGAGTCCAACCTGGGGACCCTGCAGGACGATGACACCGAGAGGCCATGGTGGCAGGCACCAAGCTGGGCAGAGCTGCGAGGCGAGCAGGAGAGGATGGCAGTGCAGGTGGGCAATGCGGTACCTGTGTCCTTACCCTTACTGCACATCCCAGGAGGTGCGTTTGGATGGAGATGGACCCACATCCATGCACCAATGTGTGCATCTGCTTTGTGGGCGTCTGATCTCAGCTCAGGTTCAGGTAGCAATGGGCTCCTGCTGGTGTAGAGCACTGACAGTCCGAGTCCAGAGATGGGACCTGGAGGGTGCAGGGGGCATGTCACAGTCCCTGTGGTCAGCCTGCTTACTGCAGGGAAACCCATCTTCACTGGAGCACTGCAGAAGCTCACCATATGGAAAAGCACTTAAATAAACAAAAGAAATTTATTTACCCATGCATCAACTGCCTTCTCAATGTCTAAAAACATGTGAAGAATGCTTTACCGTGCATGGTAAAGCACTCTTACTCTGAGCATGGAGTGAGTTGGGAACGGCACTGCCGTTACAGTGCCAACCATCCTTCGGGGACCCAAAGGGAAGCTGAATTTTCTCTGAGCATGGATGTGATCGGGTGCCCATGCCCACAAGAAGCCCCCAACCTGCAACCCAAGGAGGGAAGTGCCTGTGTGTTTAATTTGGCAGAGGGCAGAGCAGAGGCAGGTGCTGGAGGACCTACAGAGGGAGAACTGGGCACAGAAGGTCCAGGTGGGTGCCATATGTCCTTGGCAGCTCCCAGGCACCTCGCTCAGAAAAGGCCTTGTTTTCTTTATGGTTCAAAGCCCAGAGATGTTAGGTCTCTTTCAGGAGAACCGGGGATGCCCTCTCTGCAGATCAGCCCAGCAAGTGGTAGGTGGAAAGAGCAGGGCTACACACTTTAAATGAGCCTTGGCTGGACTTCAAAGCCCAGGGCAACAGAGTATAGTTATTATGTTATCAAGGGGAAAGAATAAAGGAAATGCAGCAACCAAAGCTGTATCCTGTCACAGCCGATGAGAAGACACGAGCTTGCCACCAGCAGACTTTGAAGCTGGCCATATATCTTCTGCAGGGCCAGATCTGCCCTTTGGAGGACATCTCAATAATGAATAAAAATCCAGAGAACTGCCCTTGCTTTCTGGGGAAGGGAAGAGATGGCTCCAGACCCATTTTTTACCATGTTCAAGTCTTCTTGTTCCTTTTTTGCCCCTTTCAATTGAAGAAAGAGAACAAGACGCTCCGTACCGTCTCATCCCAGGACCAGCAGGCTTTTATGGACCGTGTCCATCAGGAGATGGATGCCCTCAGCACCCGTCTCAGGGAGCAGCCCAAGGTCACGAAGTCCCAGGAGAAGGCAGCAAGTGAAATAAAAAAAAAAGGCGGTCTTGGTTCATCAAGAGGGTTTAAGCAGATGTTTAACTCTAAGCAGCCTTAAAATATTTGCTGAGTTAAGACTAAGCCTATTTTAAAGCCCATTCTGTAATGCTTTGCTATATTCGGCTCTTTTTTGCACTCAATAAGCACGAAGCATTGCATGAATATCTTCGGCACGAACCATGCCCACCAGGATGCAGATCACCAGAGCAACACTTTGCATTACAATTTGGATCATCTTTTACTTATCAGATCAATGAATAGCACGTGGGGTATAACAGGATGGTATCTGATGTGCCAGTGATCATATTATGGAAGGGAAAGCCCCTAAGCTGACCCCTTACATGTATGGTCTGCTTAAGGGAAATAGCTCTTGGGGCGTTTATGTGCCCACTTTAGGCTCTTGCTATTTTCTGCTCCTTTTTTGAATGCATTTAATAATAATACTCTGCAGAAAGAGGAAAAATTCCCAAAATTATAGACAAAGAAATGATCTTTCAATGATACCCAGTCTATTTCTTTACAGATCAAGCTATTCTCTGCAAGCAAACCTGAAGGTAATGATTGCATTTTTAAAGTGAATCAATTTGGGTCTAGATAATTTTTTCATAGCTAACAGTCCTTCAGACCACAATATCTTCTCTGTCTCCTTCTACAAAAGCGTGCCATGGAGTCCTCTCCAGGGAGCTGGCTGTATGTCCTCTCACACGAAGCTGTGGAGTGGACACCTTCCAGTCCCTTGACTATATGCTGCAACAGCATAGACCGCAGCTTTGGTCACTGGCACAAAACTAACTTGTCTCTTGGGTGGGTTTTGCATTGTAGCCATACCCCAAAGGAATGAGATTTTAATCAAGCACTCACAGCAAACGGATGACCTTGCCTCCTCCAAAATGATGCCAGTGGTTATTTGCATAAAAATAAGGAGCTGAGGCATGCTGTGGTTTCTTCTTCTTCTGGGTTTTCTATAATCAAGTGCCAGGGAAAGAAAACGGGGACTTCTCAGCTCCCTAATGCCTGTGGTGCAGCCGCAGACCTGGCCAGGTGCTGCTGCTCAGAAAACAAGAAAGGCCATAAGACAGGGATGGCTATTAGCAAATACCCAAGGGGTACTTCGTTGACCCCAGCCCTGAGGGGTAGCAGAGGGCTGTTTGCCTACTGACATCCTCCAGCTGGTGGCCTTGGCAGGTGAGTGCCCCAGGGTTTCCCTCAGGGATGTTCTCCAAGGGCTAGTGCCAGACCTGGGCCAGCCTTGGATCCCCAAAGGGACGGAAAGTCCATACTTTCCGTATAGGAAAAACAGGTGATGATCAGCACTTGCTTCTGCGCTGGGGCCTCGGCTCCTGTTTGACCCTCACAGGCTCCTTTCTTCCCTGCAGTGACCCAGGAGGTGACCAAAGTGGTGCCTGATGAAGAGTCGTCAGGTGGGTACTGGAGCTGGCACATCCCTGTCCCGAGAGCACGAGGATGAAGCTGGCGTTTGGCTTGGGGTGTTGTGCGGTGAGGACGAGGGGGTGCTGGGCAAAGCTGGCGGTGATGAGGTGGTGGGCTGGGGACAGAGGGGATGACCTCGCTGGTCCCCTCTTGGCTGTGCAGAGTACAACAGCACCATGACCAGCCCTGCTGCCAACGCTTCACCCGGGAAAGCTGTCCCAGGCAGTTGCTGGGCTGTGGGTGGGATTTTGGAAAAGCTGTGGGCAGGAATTAATCAAATTAGAGGAGGAAGAATCTTCCCTTCATAGAGGGATGTAGTCTGCTGAGAGCAACCAGTTGCTTGCTCTGGGACTGGTGGGATCCATGTCCCCAAAGAGGAGGAGGGACTCACCGGCCCAGGGCGCAGACCATGTGTCACTGTGCTGGTAGCAGCACCCACCTTTACTCCAGGCAGAAAGAAGGCTGCCCTGGGTGGGAAGCAGAGGCTGCTGGAAGCCCTACGGAGAAACCCAAACCTCCTGAAGCAGTTTCGCCCCATCCTGGAGGAAGTGCTGGAAGAAAAGCTGGAGAGCATGGGGGTCAAGAGGGTAAGTCTGCCCTTTCGGTGCCAGCATTTGCAATGCCAGCTCTGAGCCAGTGCAGGGACACAAAGATTTGGGGGGGGGGGGGGGGGGGGCAGGAGGTACTAAAAAAA